AAAAAAAAAAAAAAAAAAAAAAAAAGGAGTAACAAATATTCTATTTGTTAAATATTTTTATAAACATTTTCTTTTTTATTTTTAAATTTTTATTTATTTTATAAAATGTTAAATCATTGATAGAAATTTATATAATTTTAATTTTTATATATAAAATATTTATAGAAAAAAAAAAAAAAAAATAAAAATGAATAAAATTGCTGACAATCCTATCCCCTCATAGGTTGATAGTTAATTCATGTTCAGTTGTGCTTATTTCTTTTGAAAAAGTATTGTCCTTTTATTATCTCAAAAATTTAATTTTCATAAGATTATTTAAAGTTGTAATTTAAATTAATTTTAAAAATATTTAAATAATTCATTTTTTTTTAACCATACATATTAAAATAAATAGAAATAACACCCCCATATCCCAAATCAAAAAAAAAAAAAAAAAAGTTTGATTAGGAATATTGTGATAATTCAGAATAAACACAAAAAAAAAATATATACACAAATACAAAGGAGGAACTTATCTAAAGGTATAATCTATAAAGACACACGCAAAAAAAAATATATATATATATATATATCATTACAAGAAAATAATAAAAAAAGATAATTCCTTATAAAGGAAACAATTTGAATATAATTTATTCTTATTTATTTTATATTACATTTTTTATTGTTTTTATAGTTTTTTTTTTTTTTTTTTTTTTTTTTTTTTATTCATATATTTATTGATTATATTATTTATTTTATTACATTTATATGATTAAGTTAAATATATGTGTTTCATTGATGTTTTTTTTTTATAATTTCAAAAATATATATATGATTATCTTTTTTGTTTATATAGATAAAATGGGAAGAAAAGCAAATAATCCGTCTACATTAGAAGAAAAAACCTTAAACAATAATGTTATTTTAGGTAATAACATAAAAGAAAACATAGTAAGTGAAAAAAAACAAGGAGGATCAAAATTAAATGAAAAAAAAACAAACAAAGGTACAGAGTTAACATCTAATATACAAATAAATGGAAATATTCAGAAAAAAAAAGAAAATGATTTGGAAAATAAGAAAATAAATAATATAGAAGAAAATTTTGTAAATAAAAGTAAAGAAAATAAAACAGAGGGAAGTAGTGGATTAGCAAAAAAGAAAAAAACAAATAAAAAAACAAAGAAGGATAATAATAATAAACCAAATGAAGATTTAATAAATGAAAATGTACAGGAAAATGAAACTAATGAAAAAGAAAAGGATGGACATATAAATGAGGAAAACAAAAAGGAAAATGATAGTGATAATAAAGAAAAAACTAAAGATGGAAAGGAGAAAAAGGAAGAAACAAAAAAGGATTCAAAAAAAGATATAAAATTGAAGGAGGACGAAAGAAAAAAAATAGAAAATGAATTAAATAAGAAATTTTTAAAAATAATGAAAACGGATAATTATAAAAATATTAATGATAGAATGGATGCAGAAATGAAAAGAAAAACAGAAATTGAATTATTAATTAGTTCAATTAATACATCGGTATCAAAATCAAATGCCCAAACACCTAGACCAATTAACATGAAATTATCTTCAGTAGATATTGAAAATAAAATTAAGGAAGCCAAATTAAAAAAAAAGAAAATTAACCCAAAAAATTTAGAAGAAGTTGAAGAAGTAAACATATATATTAATTATTTAGAAGAGCAATTGAATGTTACAAAAAATTATGAAAATTTCAAAAGTTTCCAAAATCGTCTAGTTAATTTAAAGAAATCTTGTGAAGAAAAATTAAAAGAAAATTTAAAAAGTATAAATGAAATTAAGATACAAGAAAAAAAATTAAAATCAGTAGAAAAAATAATTAAATTGAAAAAGGAAAAGCAAAATATTCAAGTAAAGGAATCAGATGTAATAAATAAAGAATACATACTTCCAGCTGATAAATATACAACATTAATTAAACCATATAATTTTATGAATAGAATTCAAAGCAAACATTTCGTGTATGTAGATAAAATAAACAATAACAATTTTGATAAAGTATGTTTATATATTACCGGATGTAAGGATGATGTAGAAAATTTTATCAATTATTTAAAAAACATTGATTTTACCGAAAAAAATTATGTACATCTTAGTAATAAAGTATTTAAAATTATGCTTAATATTTGTGAAGGAAGTTTTAAAAAAATGGAAGATGATACAAATGTTTTTGTTCATGTAGATAATGATACTCTTTATTATTGTGGTATGAAAGCAGATGTAGAAAATTTAAAAGAACTAATAGAAAAAGCTATAAATGAAAAAAATTCTAACACAAAAAATGTCACAAAAAACATTAAATTAGATTCCGTTTTAGCTAGAGGATTTAACAAAGGTCTTTTGAAAGATATAGAAAATAAAACTAATACATTAATCAGAATGAACTATGATTCTAAAACTTTTGAAGCATCAGCTACCATCAAGGGAAGTAAGAATAGTGATATAGAAGAGGCAGAAGGAAAATTAAATGATATTTTTAAAAATTTGGATTCAGAATTCATAGAATTTGAAGAAAGAGAATTATTTTCTTTATATAAAAAATGTTCTTATGAATTAAATGAAATAAGAAAAAATTTAAATTTATTTATTATTCGTCATGATAACGGAATTAGTTTAGTAGGAAAAAAAGAGAATATAAATAAAGCTTTAGAAATTTTAGATTATGCAAAAAATATTATATCCAATAAGACAGTTAAAAAAAAATTAACAGAAGAAGAAGCCTTTTTGTTTAATGCTAATTATAGAAGTTATATAAAATCAAAAACAGGTGCGGAGGTAAAAATATTTAACAAAAGTAATTATAAGGAATTAAATATAAATGGAAATAAAAATGATATAGATAAAGCTTTGCAGATGATTGAAGATTTATTAAAAAAGAAAAAGTGCACAGAAGTAGAAATAAATGAGAAGGTTATCGCTTTGTTATTATCATCCAAAGCACAAAAAATTAAAGAAATAGAAAAAGATACTTCTACAAGTATACAAATTAATAAAAGTAATCACATAGCTCAAATATATGGTCATGAAGACAAGATACATTTAGCAAAAGAAATCTTAGAAAATTTAGTATTAACAGAAGGAAAAGAAAGTAAATTTATACCAAATAATTTATATGTTACAGTAGAAATGTCTGTTGAAACGGAACACATAGGAAGCATTATTGGAAAAAAAGGAAGAACAATTAATAAAATTCAGGAGGAAACATTTGCTAAAAAAATACATATAGATAAAGAAAACAAAAAAATTTATATACATGGAACACAAAAAACAGTTGATGCTGCTCAAAGAGAAATTTTAAGAATATTAAATAGAAGTAAAGATGATAATTCATATTATGATAGATATAAACATTCTAGCAATTCTATTTCAGCTCATAGAAAATCCCATAAAAGTACAAGATCAGGAAGATCTAATTATCGTTCTGAATCATCAAAGAACGGAGTTTACATAAACACTAATGATGAAAAAGCTTTCCCCAGTCTCCATGATGTAACTAATATTCAATCGAAAAAAAATAAAAAATCTGTAAATCATTCAAATACTAAAAGACAAGAAGAACAACGAGAAGTAAATGAAAATGAATAAAAGATGGAAAATTTTATCCATTTTTTTTACATATATATATATACATTAATTTTTATCTATTTTCAAATTAAAATATTTTCTCAATTTAATTCATACATGTGTATTTAATTATTGCATGTGTTAAAAGAAATATAAATTAGAAAAAATATAAAATAAAAAAAAAAAAAAAAAATAAATAATATTAAAAAAAAAAAAAAAATTAATAAAATAAAAAATTAATAAAAAAAAAAAAAAAAAAAAAAAAAAAAAAAAAAAAAAAAAAAAAAAAAAAA